CTAGACAAGCTAACATTAGAATATAATTAGCCATTTTACCATAATTTTAAATTAATTAATAACAAAGAAACAAATGCGGAAATAAAGTCTGAAATAAAGTGAATAATCCATAATAAACGCGATATCTAAATACCATCCCAGAACTGGAGTCACAAGTGTACGAGCTTCTAGAATAATACAAATAAAGGTATGAATAAAATAAAGTTATCTGAAAGAAACCACACAGCTAAAATAAAGTAGATGGGGATTTCAGAACTGCGGACGCTGTGCAGTTATACCTCAAGTCTCCTCTGGGTATCTGAAACCCGAGCAAGTCTATGGTACGCCANAATAATTATAATTTATTTATGAAACAAACAATGACAAGTAGCAATTAATTGTGGAAATCAAGGAAAAAAATAGGCAGTTTAATATTTAATATGCTAAATGTCAAGTATCAATTAAGACATATAAATCAAATAAGCATGTAACAATTATTGCAGAAATTCAAGAATTAATATTTGACAAGGAATAAGAGAGAAATAATTATTACAATAATTAATTCGTATCTTAAAATAATTTAAGATGTTTAAATAATTAAGCAAACAATTAATTTGACAAAATATAGGTACTCGTCGCCTTGCCTATACATCGTTATACATGAAATTCACATAGCAAATAATTCAAGAGTTCTATTCCCTCAAGTCAAGGTTAACCACGACACTTACCTCGCTTTGCAACCAAATTCAAGATTCCAATAAACCTTTGCCTCGCGAATTCGTGTCTGAAATCCTCAAATCCAGTCATAAACAATTCAACATACTCAATACAAATCGTAGGAACTAATTTCATATGAATTTACTAGTTTTCCGGATTAAAATCTGAAATTCATCTAAAAAATAGACAGTGGGGCCCATGTCTCGAATCTCGAAAAAACTTACGAAACCCGAACATCTGTTCCGAGACGAGTCCAACCATACAAAAATTACCAAATTCCGATGTCAAATAGACCTTCAAATCTTAAATTTTTATTTTTGGAAAGTTTTACAAAAATTTCAATTTCTTCCATCTAAATCCGAGTGAAATGATGAATATAGATACAGATTCATGAAATATAATCATTATAGGACAAGGAACACTTACCAAATTCGAACCTTTGAAAAACTCCTTAAAATCGCCCAAAACCCGAGGTTTAAAAGTCTAAACGAAATGAAGAAAAATGGCCATTTTCGACTCCTTAATGTTCTGTCAATTTTCGCTTCTGCGATGAAATGGCCACATCTGCGGCGTCGCTTTTGCGACTGAAAATGTCGTTTCTGCATTGCCCCTCGCTTCTGCGAACCAATGTCTGCTTTTGTGGACTTGCAGGTGCGTCCATCTTTCCGCTTCTGCGGCTTCTTGCCCAGCTCCTCTACTTCCGCTTCTGCGACGTAATTCACGCTTCTGCGGAGCCGCTTCTGCGACCAAGGCTTCGCAGAAGCGAAGGCACCAGAAGCTGCGAAATTCCAGATTTTGCTTAAGTCCAATTTTTGTTCCGATTTCGATTCAATTCACACTCAGGGTACTCGGGATCCCGTCCGAGTATACCAACAAGTCCCATAACATAATATGGACTTACTCGTGGTCTCATATTATGTCAAACAATGCTGAAATTATAATTCACACCTCGATTCGAACTTTTAAGTTTCAAGCTTTTCAATTTACAAATCTTGTGCCGAACCATGATAATAAATCCGGAATGACGTAAAATTTGGCACACAAGTCATAAATGACATAACGGAGCTATCTCAATTTTCAGAATCCGATTCCGGCCCCAATATCAAAAAGTCAAATCAGTGGTCAAACTTTGGAAATCTTTAGCCTTTAAATTTTAAGTTTCCGTTAAATGGCCATAACTTGAGCTAGGGACCTCCAAATTAAATTTTGGGCATACGCTCAAGTCTCAAATCACGAGACAGACCTACCTGAACTGTCAAAATACTGATCCAGATATGTTTGCTAAAAATATTGACCAAAGTCAACTTAATTGAGTTTTAAGGCTCTATTTCACATTTTAATCAATTTTTCATATAAAAACTTTTCGGAAAATTATACGGACTGCACATACAAGTCGAGGAATGATAAATAATATTTTTCGAGGTCTTAGAACACAGAATTAATTATTAAATTTAAAGATGACCTTTTGGGTCATCACACATAATACAGTATTTAACTAAGCAAGACTGTTAGGTATATTCCTATCCTAACCTCGAAATCGTTCCCCGAGCCACGGGTTCAGAAACAAGCTCTATTTAATTTTACTCTAATCTAAACACGGCTTTCCCAAGTATAGTATAGATAGTAGGTTAAATTGGTAGCTACAACAATTCACAAGTTAAAACTAGAATTAAATAAACAACCACAAGATGATAATCTGAATTAACGAAGATGTAATTAATAAATGTTAATAACCATGTCAACCACAACCCTAGAAACTAGAGTGCTTAGCCACTCATGTTCATAGTAACAATTTTTCAAGTATTTTGCATAAATAAATTACAAAGAAAAGATGAAGGAATGAAGAACTCGATGATTTTCTCCTCCAAAAGTTGTTCCACTTGATGTTCTTGCCTCCAAATAATGTTCCCAAAGACTTCTCTCCTTCCAAAGTAGTGTCCCCCCCTAAAAACACATTTTCTTGATGTATTTATAGTGGCTAGGATTTGTTGGGGCGAATTGGGTTTCTCCTAATTCGGATGGAAGAAGCTGAAATTTTCTGCTTCGGTCCCGGTCTGGCAAGTGAACCTCGCTTCGCTGTACGGGACTTTTTTAGTTTCTTCTGCTCCCGTCTCGGTCTCGCGAAGTGAACCTCACTTCGTTGTCTGGGACCTGGGCACCAAACTTATACTTCTTCCATATTCTTCATTTTTTTACTTCACTTTACATGAAAACTTTCCAAATCACTTCCAATTGACTCCTACACGTATAAATAATATTATTAAGCTCGAGTCATAAATATTCACACAAAAATTAACAAGATCGAGGTATAATTCAAGGTAAATTACATGCAAAAATATGGATTTTTAGCTAAACATCACCACCCCACACTTAAGCTCTTGCTCGTCCTCGAGCAACCAACAATTAACACTATTCTTGGGTACTTTACATATTTGAACCACACTACATCAATGACCATGGTTGATAGCAACAATTAAACTATAGCATATCCAATCACTTATACTTACCTTTACTTATGCCATTCTTCAAAAATATTCACAACAAAGACGACATACTTATAACAATCCTAGCCTCTAAAACCGACTCAGTATCACAATGCACTCATGGCTTGAACACCAACATCCTAGATAAGTCTATTAACGTTATCTATCCCTCATGAAATCATGTGCCCTCGCAACAAGAACAAAAGAGTAAGTTGAATCCACACACTTAAATTAAATGCTCAAATATATTTTAAGGACTCATATATATCAAAGAATATCACTCCCTCTCACAAAAGAAGTCATATGCATGCAATTGGTACCATAAGCTTGCCCTTAATGTAAATCTCTTTTAATGTAGGCTCACTCGATCTAAATCAATTAGGGCTTTTTCATGGTTGTAATGTGGGTTAAGGGACAGGTAGGATATATTTAAGAATAGTGGCTAACCCTCCGAATCACTTTAACACATCTCATAATCAACTATAAGCGCAAATTCTTCAATCCCAATTTTAATTTCACAACTAAAATCATCCCTAATAATGTTTCCTATTTCTTTAAGCACTACTTTAATTCATACCCATTATCAAGAACAAGATATCCATCTATTCATATACATATTTTTCCTCTTTTTTCAGATTTTTTTTTTCTTTATAATTTTCGCTAGTGGTGTATTCTTTTATAAATCAAGTTCACCTTTCTTCCTTTCATTGGTTCCACTCGAAAGCCACCCAAATTTCCTCCTTACTTCTTTTAGCGCTCATTTCACAATTAAAGTACTTTAAGAGGTAAAGGGATCAAAACAACATCAATTAAGAATAAAAATAGTTTAGGCTTGTAATGTGGGTGCCAAATAACAATCTATAGGCTCAAAATAGATTTTATTTGTGATAACAATACAGCTCGAAAAGATCAAAGAAAGCCTAAAATTATTTTTCAAACCGAGCCTCACCTAACATTTCGATTCGACTCACATACATTTTTGGCGCCGTTGTCGGGAACTTAGTTATTGATTATTTATTCAAGTTAAGCTTTTATTCGTTATTTGTTCAAGTTTTAATGTTTAGTTTGCTTTATTTATGATAACGCAGGCTCTTCTCTTGAATGCAGAGGAGTAGAAGTGCAAACAATCTCCTTCCTCTTGATCCTGAAATCGAACGTACACTTCACAAAGTGAGGAGGGAAGTCGAAGCTAGAACTAGAATTGAAAGAGAGTTGGACATCGTAGTTCAACCACAACCAATAGAGATGGCAGGTAATAAAGAGCGTTCGGTGATAGAAGCTGCAAGGCTCAATCTTGCTAATATGACTCGGGGAATTGTGAAGCCTAAGATCACGGGTCACTTTGAACTCAAATAGTACATGGTACAACTAATTCAGTCCACAGGGCAATATGTGGGTCTATCTTATGAAGACCCGCAGAGGCACATTCAGAACTTCCTGGAAATTATGCACACTTACAATTATCCGAACGTTTTCAAGGACTATGTCAGGCAGACACTGTTTCCCTTTTCACTGCTGGGGGAAGCTAAGGAATGGTTGCAAAAGGAGCCCACGAACTCAATCCATAATTGGGATGATCTAGCAAGTAAATTCTTAATCAAGTTTTCCCCACTAAGAAGACAAAGTCGCTGAGGAGCCAGATTCTTGGGTTTCAACAACGAGATGGCGAGACTCTTCGTCAAGGTTGGGAAAGATACAAGAAGCTACTTAGAGACTGCCCATATCATTGTTAGACTGATGAGGTGTTGGGTCACACTTTCATTGATGGGTTGGACGAGGCATCAAAGATGAATCTTGACTCAGCATGTGGGGGGTAGTTGCATGGCAAGACCGTATAGTGAGATCCAGATCCTGCTAAACAATTTCACTACTAATGATAACAATTGGCAAGGATATGGGGAACCACGAAGAGCACTTAAACAAAAGGCATCAGGTGTGATCGAGCTTGATGATTTCTCAGCCATGAGGGTAGATATAGCGAGATTAGCAAATCAGATGAACAAAATGACAATGCACCAAGCATAACAGATGCAGCATGTGCAACAGATGTCTACTTGCTGCGAGTTATGTGGTGAAGATCACGCAAGTGACATATGCCCCGTGAATCCTGAATCCATCTACTATGTGGGGCAATAAGCTAGAGGGCCGATGAATCAAAATGCTCAATATGGTAACACATACAATTTGAACGGGAGGAATCATCCTAACTTCTCTTGGGGTGGAAATCAGAATATCATGCCTTAAGCTAATTACAATCAACCACCTAAAACCCTACAGTAATCACAAGAGAGTTTGACTGACATGATAAAAAAGCTTTTGCTAGACAATCAGAAAGTTATGGCTGAGAATTAACAATTACGCACAGAGTTCAGAAATCTAGAGAGGAAGTTTGGGCAAATGGCTAACAATTAGAATATTAGACCTGCTGGAGCTCTCCCAAGTGATACAAAGAAAAATCCTCAAGTCAATGCAGTGACGTTGAGAAATGGGAGAGAGTTAGTAGAAGTGCCTAAGAAGAAAAAAGAGCAGTCTGGGCTCGAAGAAGAAAGAGTGCCAAAACCTGTAGAGGTAGATGAGAGAAACAAAACAGAGTCTGAGAAAATATCAGAGAGGGTGCCACCTCCTTTTCCTCAAAGACTGAGAAAGAAGAATGATGACCACACATTTCACAATTTTTTAGATATGCTAAAGCAGATACACTTGAACATCCCTTTGGTGGACATGCTCTGTGAGGTGCCAAAATATGCAAAATATATTAAGGATATAGTGGCAAATAAGAGGAGGTTAACTGAATTTGAGGCCGTCGCACTTACTGAGGAGTGCACTTCCAAGATTCAACATAAGCTTCCACAAAAGCTTAAGGATCCGGGTAGCTTTACCATCCCCATGAGGATTGGTGAAATTGATATGGGTAGAGCCTTGTGTGATTTGGGTGCAAGTATCAATATGATGTCATTGTCAGTGTTCAAACAATTGGGCTTAGGAGCTCCGAGACCCACCACGGTGCTACTATAATTACCTGAAAGATCTTATGTTTATCCTGATGGGGTAATTGAGGACGTCTTGCTATAGATTGGAAAGTTTATTCTCCAAGCAGATTTTATCATCCTGGACTACGAGGTTGATGAGTTAGTTCCTATCATATTGGGACGACCTCTTTTGGCCACTGGAGATGCCATTATCAAAGTCCGAGAAGGTAAGATGATCCTGAGGGTGGACAATGAAGAAGTAGTCTTCAATGTATATTGAGCCACTCAGTTGCCTCATCGTTACGAGGACCTTGCCATGATTTTTGTGGTGGAGATAAATGAACCAGCCATAGAGCCAAGTGCATTGAAGGAAGATGCACTAGAAAAGGCATTGATGTTGTTCAATCACTTGGAACTTGAAGAAGAGGTTGAGGAGATGTTGCAAATTCTGGATGCATCTTGTGAATACATAAGATAAAGATCCCAGTTTGAGCCTCTAGATAGGCTAATCGGCATGCCTCTTAGACCCTCAGGTGAGGAGTCTCCAAAACTGGAACTTAAACCCTTACCATCCCATCTTCATTATGCATATTTGGGTAGTTCTAACACTTTAACTATGATTGTTTCTTCTCATTTGTCTAAATTGCGGGAAGAAAAGCTCTTAAGGGTGCTGAGGGAGCACAAGCATGCCATTAGTTGGACAATGTCTGACATAAAGGGTATTAGCCCTGCATTCTGCATGCACAAAATACTCATGGAAGAGAGACACTACTTTGGAAGGAGAGAAGACTTTGGGAACATTATTTGGCGGCAAGAATATCACGTGACACAACTTTTGAAGGAAAAAATCATCGAGGTTTTCATTCCTTAATCTTTTCTTTGTAATTTATTTATGCAAAATACTTGAGAAATTGTTACTACAAACATGAGTGGCTAAGAACTATAGTTTTTAGGGTTGTGGTTGTCATGATTATTAACGTTTATTAATTACATCTTCGTTAATTCGGATTATTATCTTGTGATTGTTTCTTTAATTCTAGTTTTAACTTGTGAATTATTGTAGCTACCAATTCACCCTACTATCTATGCTATGCTTGAGAAAGCCATGTTTAGATTAGAGTAGAATTAAAGAGGGCTTGTTTCTGAACTCATGGCTCGGAGAAAGATTTTGCGGTTAGGATAGGAATATACTTAACGGTCTTGCTTAGTTAAATGTCGTATTATATTCGTTCATGATAGACTCAATACCATAGGAATATATGATTGATATATCGTGGATATGCGAGTAGTATTGTGGGAATATGCTATTTATATAAACGATCCGGTCAATTAGCAACCATAGATAATCTGGATTAACAAGTGCAATTATTGAACTTAATAGGATTGATTAACCAACCATAACCCTTCCTATGAATTACAATCTCATCATACACATTTGCATTCTTGATATATTAGTTGTTACTTGTTTAATTTTCGCAATAGTAGATTAATAAAAAAACATCACTCTTGATTATCTTGGACAATTATCTGATTTTAGTTTGCTTAGTTAACAATTGATCTAAGTCTCTGTGGGTTCGACGTCTGATTTTCGAGTCACTTTATTACTTGATGGCCACGTATACTTGCATGTACTTAGGGAACCAACAAGTTTTTGGCGTCGTTGCCAACAACTTGATTATCGCTAGTGGTGTATTCTTTTACAAAACAAATGCACCTTTCTTCCTTTCATTGATTCCACTCGAAAGCCACCCAAATTCTCTCCTTACTTCTTTTAGCGCTCATTTCACAATTAAAGTGTTTTAAGAGATAAAAGGATCAAAACAACGTCAATTAAAAATAAAAATGGTATAGGCTTGTAATGTGGGTGCCAAATAACAATCTATAGGCTCAAAATGGTTAACTAGGGATAGATTTTATTTGTGATTGCAATACAGCTCGAAAAGATCAAAGAAATCCTAAAATTATTTTTCAAACCGAGCCTCACCTAATATTTCGTTTCGACTCACATACCGGGCAAGTTCTAAACACAAGTACAATGACATGGATTACAGAAAAATCTCATTTCACACATGGCACATGACTCACTAAGGACGGTCTCATTCCGACTCTTAAACTAATGCAAGTATTCACGGAGCCACGAGATATTAAACATTAAGTACAAAGTGAACATAAGTCAAGAAAATGAGACATATACGTCACAAAACATACTATCCAAATAACCAAGGCATCATAAGTAATTTTAGCACATAGGGAAGATACTACACATGCCAAAGCCTAAATATGCTACTATCAAACAAGTCAAGGGCGCCTAGGAATCTCATATTTCTTCCTCCATTTTTTCCTAAGTCTTACTCTAAAAAAAGAAAAGAAAAGAAAAAACTACTACCCGGTTCAAACTACATCCCATGAAAAAGAACCGAGGAACAAAGAAAAATCACAGAGGATTTTTACTACCTAAAGGAAACTAAAAGACATATTTTTGGATTTTTGGTTAGACTTTAATCCTTTCTGAAAACTGTCTAAGAGATCCATCGTTGGGAAAAATTTAATTTTTCTACTTCTTTTTTCCGATTTTTCTTATTTTCCACATTTAAGTATTAAGCTACTAAAATACTACACAACTACGAAAACAAAAATAAGAAGCTAAAACCAAAATAAGAAGTTAATATTTTTCTAACATACCACTACTAATTATCTAGAGGAATTCTCCCACTCCACACTTAAAAGAGTACAGTATCCCCAATGCACAAATAAAGCAAAACAATACAGTAAAGCTGGGTTGCCTCCCAACAAGCGCCTGATTTAATGTCGTGACACGACTTGAACCAATTTTTGTCTCCATCTCAAACTTGTGAATTGAGCCCCCAATTTGGCTTCAAGCTTTTTGCTATGCTCTTGGGGTGGTGGGACAAATGTAATCGAGCCAAGTAACCAATTTCACATTCTACACTTCTTGGCTTTCAGATGAGGTATGTAATTCTTTCTCTCTGGCACAATAAATTCAAGAATATAAGCACCTTGATCCTCATCCATTGGTTCCTTCAAAGGCTTATGACTTGATTTTCATATCATCATCCAAACACAATGTTGAAAAATGTATGGAATGAGGACCAGTACGCCCCAACTCTAGAATTGGGTAACTATTTACATCCCCATATGTACACACACTAGAGTCTTCAAATATAATATTATTTACTTCCTCATATGACTCTAGAACATTCTTCTCAACATTGGCATCCTCAAGAAAAATATGGTTTAATGTTTGGTATTATCATTTTAGCCCCTCAATTTGGTCAAGAAGATTTTTTTCAGTTTCACATAACTCATCATTAAATTGTTGGGCGTTGAATGCATCAACCTTTGCACTTAAATCTACATCCAAGTTGTGCAAAGCCAATCCAAACTTGTCAATTTCTTGTGCAAGATCAACTCTCTCTTTCGACCAATCATTCACTAACTTTGTTAGAAGATAACGTCATTCCGCATATTCCCTTAATCGTGAATATCCGTCCCAATACCAACCCTTACTCCCATATTCAAATTCAGACCTTCCAGAGTTCAGATCATGACAAGCCCAAAAAGATGGGCCATAAAAGTCTTCCGTCAACCAAGCGTCTTCATCAGTAACCTTACCTCTGGATATTTCATCCCCAGATATCATTTTGGGAGAACAATGAACATACTAAGAGAAAAATCAAATTGTTATAAAAATAAAAATATTTACAAAAAAAAAAAATAAACAAAACCTGTAAAGATTAAAGTAAAAGTCTAATCTAGAAAAATAACTAAATAGAAAAATTAAAACTTGAACAGAAATCAACTAAAAGCTTAACTTATATAAACAATCAATAACTAAGTCCCCGGCAACGATGCCAAAAACTTGTTGGTTCCCCAAGTACATGCAAGTAAACATAGCCGTCAAGTAATAAAGTGACTCCAAAGTTGGATGTCGAACCCACAGAGACTTAGATTAATCGTTAACTAAACAATCTAAAATAAATTAGCTGTCCAAGATAATCATAAATGTTGTTTATCTACTAAACTACTCTTGCAAATATCGAACAAGTAATTAGCTAATTTATCAGGGATGCAAACGTGTGTTTTGGATTTTACTCAGAGGAGATGAAGATTCCAGGGTTGTGGTCAATTTATCAATCCTATTAAGTTTAATAACCATACTTGTTAATCCAAATTATCAATGGTTGCTAATTGACCGGATCGTTTATATGAATAGCATGTTCCCACAATACTACTCGCCTATCCACAATATATCAACTCTATATTCCTATGGTATTGAGTCTATCATGAACTAATATAATACGGTATTCAACTAAGCAAGACTGTTAGGTATAATCCTATCCTAACCGCAAAATCATTCCCCGAGCTACGGGTTCAGAAACAAGCTCTCTTTAATTCTATTCTAATCTAAACACGGCTTTCCCAAGCATAGCATAGATAGTAGGGTGAATTGGTAGCACAACAATTCACAAGTTAAAACTAGAATTAAAGAAACAACCACAAGATGATAATCTGAATTAACGAAGATGTAATTAATAAATATTAATAACCATGTCAACCACAACCCTGGAAACTAGAGGCTTAGCCACTCATGTTCGTAGTAACAATTTTTCAAGTACTTTGCATAAACAAATTACAAAGAAAAGATGAAGGAATGAAAAACTCGGTGATTTTCTCCTCCAAAGGTTATTCTACGTGATGTTCTTGCCTCCAAATAATATTCTCAAAGTCTTCTCTTCTTCCAAAGTAGTGTCTTTCCCTAAAAACACATTTTTTTGATGTATTTATAGTGGTTAGAATTTGTTGGGGCGAAATGGGCTTCTCCTAATTCGGATGGGAGAAGGTGACATTTTTTGCTTTAGTCCCGGTCTGGCAAGTGACCCTTGCTTCGCTGTCCAGGACTTTTCTGGTTTCTTTTGCTCCGGTCTCGGTCTCGCGAAGTGAACCCCACTTCGTTGTCCGGGACCTGGGCACCAAACTTATACTTCTTCTAGATTCTTCTTTTTTTTTACTTCACTTTGCATGAAAACTTTCAAAATCACTTCCAATTGACTCTTATACATATAAATAACATTATTAAGCCCGAGTCACAAATATTCACACAAAAATTAACAAGATCGAGGTATAATGCAAGGTAAATTATATGCAAAAATATGAAATTTTAGCCAAACATCACCCCGCCGAGCCCCTTCCTCTTCAAATTACTCTTGGGAAGCATCGAACGATAAATTTAATGCCTAGGACTGCAACATTTCGGTATGATTATACCCTAACTTTTTTCCAACTAGTTTTCTCTGTTAAGCATTGAGGAGCAAGTTACTAGTCATTACTTGTAGATAGGGAGATGTTGAAACATTCTTCACTTATTTTTTTCAAGTAATCTTTCTGTATTACTCCATTCAAAGGAATTTCTCAATTTGATATGTATGTCTGCTATCAATATCTTGAAATGTCAACTGA